GGCCATGTTCCTCGAGGAGTTCAACTACAAGGTCGTGCATCGTTCTGGGGAGCAAATGCAGCACGTCGACGCCCTTTCAAGGATGTACGTTCACACAGTTGACTTGGCCAAGGACATCAATGAAGATAATTCGTTCGAGAACGCTCTGTACGTGGCTCAAATTCAAGATCCTGTCATCTGCGCATTGAAAGCATCAGCAACAAATGGAGACTTAAAAAAATACGAGGTTCGAGATAACTTGTTGTTCAGAAAGGAGAAAAACCGTTTATTATTGTACGTGCCTCAAGCAATGGAAGATTCTGTTGTATACCGATTCCACGACTCAATGGGGCATTTCGGAAAGGATAAAGTTATAGAATTGATCAAGCGAGCATTCTGGTTTCCAAATATGTCAGAAAAAATAGCTGAACACTGTAAAAAGTGTATATCCTGTATACTTTTTAATCCAAAGGCAAGGAAAAATGATGGTGTGCTTCAAAACATCGCCAAAGGAAACCGACCATTTTGGACTTTACATGCAGATCATTTGGGTCCGCTAGAGATGACGAAAGGGAAGAACAAGTATATTTTGGCGGTGGTAGATGGATTCACAAAGTTCGTGAAGCTGTACCCAACAAAAACAACCAACTCCAAAGAAGTAATGAAACATCTGAAATCATATTTCATCAACTACAGTACTCCAAGAATCCTTATCACTGACCGTGGATCTTGTTTTACATCGCAACCGTTCAAGCAATTTGCGGATTCCCATGGATTTTCGCATACTCTTGTAGCAACAGCATGTCCTCAGGCAAATGGCCAAGTCGAGAGGTACAATCGTACACTGCTTCCAGTATTGGCTAAACTTGCTGAGTCCTCTAAGACGTCCTGGGATACTGTGCTCATCGATGTTGAGTATTTTCTCAACAATTCGATCAACCGAGGAACTGGGTCGATTCCATCTAAGCTGCTGTATGGAGTGCAACAACACCGAAAAATTAACCATGATGCCGTTCAATACTTCCAGGACCTGCTGGAGTCATCTGATCGGCTAAATCTGGAAGATGCACGGAACATGGCAACCGAATGCATACGAAAAGTGCAGGATTACAATAAGAAGTGTCATGATAGTAGAAGTCTCAGGACTACATTCAAGGAGAACGATTTGGTAGTTATTAGAAGTGTACCAGTAGTCGGGGAAAACAAAAAGCTAAGGCCTCGATTCAAAGGGCCTTACCGAGTGAAAAAGGTTCTTGATCAGAATAGATATATTGTGTCAGATATAGATGGGTATCAAGTGTCGACGAAACATTTTGAGGGAATTTTTGATCCACAGAATATGCGAATGTATAAGTCACATGAAGCTGGTAGTAGTTCGGATGTAGATCAAGAAGTTGAATCCGAAAGCAGTGATAGAGAGGATTAACGCTAGCTTTTATCTATTTCAGGACGAACATGAATTTGAATAGCATAACGACTGGAAAACGAAGATCAAACAATCATTTGTAACGCAGCATAGGGACTAGGTATCAGTGGGAGAAAAGTTCCGCAGGATGGCCGAGCTGTAGAAGAGAAAACATTCAGTGTAGTTATTACGGAGTTATTACCCCTCATTTCCATGTTCATACCCCTCACACATTTCAGTTCAGTGTCTGAGTAATAGCGCGGAGAAGGCGACTCCCACTCGAGGCAGATTGAATACGGAAGCAAATAAATTCGTTTTAATTAAATCCTATAGACTATCGCGGCATCATGCATCGTTGTGTGCCATATCTAAACTGTTCGAGTTGGTCGTTATGGAACCATTTGTATCTCACTTCAAGCAGCACTTGAGCGAAGACCAGCATGGTTTCATGGCAGGGCGGTCGACTACTTCCAACCTTCTGTGTCTCACCTCGTACATTACGGAGAGTATGACAGACCATATGCAAACAGATGTCATCTACACTGACCTATCAGCCGTCTTCGACAAGTAGAACCATCTTATAGCGATCACCAAACTGGACAGGCTCGGTATAAACGGCAGTCTCCTACGATGGTTCGCATCCTATCTATCTGATCGTCAGTTGGAAGTTACAATCGACGACTGCCGATCTCCTTTGTTCCCTGCCACTTCGGGTATTCCGCAAGGTAGCCACCTCGGCCCGTTGATATTTCTTGTGTATTTCAACGACGTCAATTTCGGTCCTCGACGGTCAACGACTGTCGTTCGCAGACGACATTAAAATCTATCTCCGAATCCGAGTCATCGCTGACTGGCACCTTCTCCAACTCCAACTCAACGCTTTTGCTAATTGGTGCCAACTGAACCGCATGGTTGTAAATCCAACAAAATGTTCATTAATCACGTTCTCACGGAAGAAACATCCAATTACATTCAGTTATATCCTAGAAGACGATTGTCAACTCACATACAGCCAGCATATCTCGTACGTGATTGACAAAGGCATCCAGAACGCTCATTTTCAGGATAGCTAAAAGTTTCACGGACATCTACTGTTTGAAGTCGCTTTACAACTTCCTCGTCCGGTCGGTGTTAGAATACTGCTGCCCTGTATGGAATCCCAATTACCAAAACAGTGTACAAAGAGTAGAATCTATTCAACAACGATTCATCTGGTTCGCCCTCCGACGATTGCCTTGGAGGGATCCTCATCGTCTTCCAAGCTACGAAAGTCGGTGCCAGTTAATTCACCTGGATCCTTTGTGGAGTCGAAGAGATACGACAAGGGCCCTGTTTATGACACATTCTACAGGGCAGAATCGATTATCAACTATTTTACAACAAATCGACGTTAACGTTCAACCACGAGCACTCCTTAACAACGCAATGCTGAGGATACCTTTTCGTCGTACAAACTATAATTCATATGGTGCTATCAATGGGCTACAAAGGGTTTTCAATCGTGTTGCTTCCTTATTTGATTTTCACTTGGCACGCAAGACGCTCGGCGAATTAGGAATTAAGTTGGACTTCACGGCCTTTGCAGCTTGTTTCTTCTTGACTATATTGTATTTCCTAGTATTGCTCAATCCATCATTAGGACTAAACCCAGTCTGTTGATGTAGAACCAAATATAGCGGCGCCGGTGGTGTAGTGGTAAGCGTGATTACCTCTCACCCCAGCAGGCCTGGGTTCAATCCCAGTCGGCGCCGCCGGGATGTTCTGAGGCATAACATCTCTGATCACGCCTTCCTTCGGAAGGAAAGTAAAGTTGTCCTTCTCGATCGTGTAGACTCCTATGGGGATGTGCTCTTGGGGATCGACAAACGTCACTTGTTTTACAGAATTGTTCTTCCTGCAGTGTCGGGTGTAGAAATTGAAATATTCGAGGTAAAAGCCTCAGTATTGCCTCGCTATACATCCCTCCGAGAACGGCTGTTTCTCATCGAGCTTTATCGGATATCTGCTCAGTGTTACCTGAGCCGCGGTTGATCTTAGGGGATTTTAATTCCCACGGTACAGGCTGGGGAGAGCTGTACGATGACAATCGCTCAACCATCATCTACGACCTATCCGACAATTTTAACATGAGCAAAAGAGAGCAGATTGGATTTGTCACTTTGTTCGAACTCACTATCATTGGATTGCATGTGGGAGGTAATCCAAGACCCCTATGGTAGTAATCTTATTTATTTATTTATTTATTTAATTACATCAACAGGCTGGATGAAGCCCCAATGATTTAAACCTTATCAACTATGGTAAAAAAAAAAATACATTCAAGCATGGTCATAACATAAAAAACATTAAAAAACGTATATCTTATAGTCAATATCTTAACTCCTGCCGGCGAAAAACAGAAGAAAACTTTCGACGAAGCGCATCACGGGAGAGATGAAAGTCGAAAACAGATGCAACTCTGTTGAATGTTCTCTGCAGTCCGCAAATCGCACCGTACGCTCCATAATTTGTGCGACGTAGAGGCAGTCTTAGCATAAGGTTATTACGAAGCGGTCGGGGTTGAACATTCAGGTCAATTTGCCTCAGGATAGCCTCACAATCTGTCCTTCCTTGTAGGATATCGGCCACGGTAAGGGCTCTGTTTGTGTCTCTTCTAGTCCGGAGAAGTTCTAGGTCGATAAGTTGACAACGGCTTTCGTAGCTTGGTAATCGAAACGGATCGTTCCAAGGCAATCTACGCAACGCAAAACGAAGAAAGCGACGTTGAACAGATTCAGGTAGTGCTCATTTGCCCATCAAAGTCTCGATCTCCAATGGCTCATCTTCGCAACATCGCATACGATCTCACGAGAAACATCGATTGGGAAAAATACGCGAACGCGGTCCGTGGCGGCTCAGAATCGGTCGACGTTTTCTCTCCTCTGGATGAGTACTCCTTCTTATCGTGCCTCATCGTGGATTGCGCGCTTCAAGCACAAACGAAGCCAGTTCCTGGTGTTTCCATTCGTAAACGTCAAGGAATACACCGACACGAATAATGAGAAGTCCGCCGCGTTTAAACAACTTCGTAAGCACGGTTCCATCGAATACTTTGAGCGGTACGATGGAGGAAAAAATCAAGAGCCCAAAAAACGCTCTGGAATGTCGACTGGAGAATGCGTAACGTACCTTCGTCGGTCAATGAGGACAAGGAGTACTCTAACAGATGGATTTTTGATTTTGCGCGCAAAGTTTGCCCTGATTCGGTTCCGGTTCGAAACAACACTCGCGATACCTCGGAGGAAAAGAATGACATTGACTCCCCGTTTTCGATGGTTGAATTCTCAATTGCTCTTCTTTCATGCAACAACACGGCTCCGGTAATGGATCGAATCAAATTCAACTTGCTCAAGAACCTCCCAGACGACAATCAATTCCTGGAGCACAACGTTGTTCCGGAATGCCACTTCACCGAACGCAATTTCCCCGAAAGCCTTTGTGTTGCTGAGTTTAGGGAGGGCAGTCGCTACGCCTATGCCTACCAGGGATATTGTGATTATCATCGCCAAAATGTCACTTTTTAACTCCCGCAGAGAAAATTTACCTACGAAAAAGACAAATAAAAGTTGTAACTTACCCATTCCGACAAAATTTACAATCTTATCGTGGTTGTGATTGGTCAGCAGCGGCTCGGGTGCAATGAACCGCAAGTTGATTTCCTTAATCTTCGGCTTGGGTTCCTGCTGGAGGGACGCAGAGGAACAGCTGTTGATGCTGCTACTGCTGCCACTACAACTGGCCACGGTTTGGTTGTTGAGACTAGTATGTATATTGCTACTGCTGCTGTTGTTGCTGTTGCTGCTGGTGCTGTTGTTGCAACCCAAGGCAGAGGTATTGCTACTGGAAGTGGTTGTATTGTTCATTGCAACCGGTGGCGGTCCAGCTGGTGGTATGATGACTGCTTGCACAATCGGTATCGTCGTCGCCGGGACGACTACCGGTGGAAGCGGAGGCGGTGGAACGCTCATTATGGCTGGCGTGTTCGTGGCGCTGTCCTGCTTGGCAGCGGCAACTGGTAACGTTGGAAGCGCTGGCGGAGGTTGCTGCTGCTGCATGTGGGCCTGAATCACTGGAGGCGGTGGCAGATTGTAGTGATTCGGGCCGGTCGCTGCCGGGCGAGGTTGGCGAGCTGATTGCTGTTGCTGTTGAGCAGCAGCCAGTACGTGTGGTGGCGGGAGCTGCGGCGGAGGCTGCGTGTACATTGCCGGAACCATCGGCGGCGGTGGCTGATGGAATTTGTTCTCGATGCTGTCCCGATAGGTGTCTGGAATTGCGCATAAAAGGTAATGTAAGTACATAACAAGAATGCCTAGAAATATAGATCTGCATTGAATTACCAGGATCACCAGAGTTGTTTAGCATATCGTATGAATCATGCTGCTGCTGCTGCTGCTGTTGCTGCTGCTGAGAAGATTGATTGTAATAGTGATGGTGGTGTGGTTTGTGTTGTGACGAATTGGAAGATGTCGGTGATGCGGTCGAAGCGGACGATTGCTGCATTGAACTGTAGCCAAGATCAGTCGAATGTGCCGAGGTGTTACTCGCCGGGGAAGGAACATTTTCGGTGCTACTGCTGTGATGCTGAGAAGGCTTCTGCTGGTGCTGATGATATTGGTGCTGTGAAGACTGCTGGTCGAGCATGCTCACTTCGTCCTCTTGGAAGTCGCCAAAGAGCAGCTCTTGGTCAATGTCGAAACCGAAGGTAAATTCGTGACTTGAGTTGGATTCGTTGTTGTCGTTCATGATGATCACGGCCGGGCGATGATTTGAGATGGCAGTCGCAGCAGAAATGGCATTTGATCCGGCAGCATTGATAGCAGAGACAGAATTCTGGTGATTGAGAGTGGTCGATTTCTCCTTCTTGCTTCGCTTCGTGGTAACCGCAGTGGTACTGGTGGAGGAAGGAACCGAGTTAGCGATATTACTACTGTTTTTCGGTGTACTCTGTGGGTGCTGCTGCAGGTTCAAACCACCGTTGGGGCTTCGGTTCAGCATACCGTTATTTTGACTAAAGTCCGAGGAGGGAACGCTGTCGATACTCTCAATCAACAGCTGGTTGTTGTTGGCGGCGTCCAGGGCCGTTTGGAACGCTGCCACATTCCGGGCATTGTTGATCGATTCCACTTCGTTGGGAGAGACAGTGGCGGCGATGACGGTGGTGGTAGTATTTGTGAGTGAGTCTTTCTTTTTCGATTTTTTGGCACCTGTCGAAACGTTACTGGCGATAGGGTTACCGGAGATAACCATCGTAGTCGCCGTCGGCGTAATCGTAGGCTGCGGGGACATATTCTGACCGGCACTGGCTACCGGGCTCACCTTGCCACCGGTGCAGGAAGCTTTCGGTTCTAGCAGGCTGTTACTATTCGCAGTAACAGTGGGAGCCACTTTTGCCGATTTGACAGTCTTCTCCAGCGCAGGGTAGTGTTCGTTGGAGTAGTAGATATCGTTAGTATCGACGCTTTTCGATTTGTGTAACGCTAGTTTAGAACTGCTGCTGCTGCTACTGTTGCTACTATTGTTGATACTACTACTATTTACACTTTGTTCACTATTAACGCTACTAACTAGTTTTCCACTGGCCGCCGTTGCCAATCGCTGCTGCTGCTGTTGCTGCCTGTTGGCGGATTCCTCATCCTCCGCCGCTTTGGTGGTAGCTATCAGCAGACTCTGAGAGTAAGTCGCTTTATTATTGTTACCTAGATTGTTACTACTAACACTATTAACACTACTATTCACATACTGATGCTGTTGATATTGCTGCTGATTCGGTTGTGGTGGCTGCTGCGGCTGTTGAGATGGCTGCAGCGATGCTTCTGGGACTAGTTCGGGGAAAGCAGACGGAGATTTGAGTGCTTGAGCTAAATCTTCGCTAGTGGCCGGCTGCACTGGAGGCCACTTTTCGACACTGGAGCTATCCAACGGGGACGTGCTGCTGTTGGAAGTAGCTCCAATTAGATTGTTGTTGATTCGGTCGGCGTTCGGAATCCGAGCAATGTCAGCGTACGACTGGGGAACTCCTGCCGAATGCCTGCTGGATCCACCCGAATGGGACTGCTGTTGTTGCTGTTGTTTCCGAGATGGTTCAATGGGGAGCGATTGCACCGAGTCGGCATCACTTGAATCAGACTTTTCGGACGGTGGAACCGAGGACGTCGATTTCCTTCGGGAGACGTCATTACTGCTGGTCAACGAGTTCATGTAGACATCCCGATCGTTCGTGAAGCTATTGCTAGTTTGATACTTTCCGCTAATATTCGCATTCCGTACGGTTGAGCTTCCCAGATTGTAGCTTTGGCTAGCAGTTAAATGACGTCTATTGCCCGCATTTGTTGCCACATTCGAGTAGCCACCAGTTGTCGTGGAAGTCGTATCTTCGGCAAATAAACTGTGAGCCTTTTTCTTCATCTTTTTCTTTTTGGTTACCACGTGGAACTCGGCTGTTTCAGCTCCAGCCCCTACGCTAACTGCCGATAACGATTCCACAGACATCCGTAGCGAATCGCGCTTCTTACCTGCATTGAACGTAGGTGTCACTGTAACTTCAGCACTTTCTTTGGCCTCTTTCTTACTCTCTTTCTTCGAAGGCTTCTCCTCTGGCTTCTCACCGCACAGCGATTGCTGCTGGTGACTATCCTCCAGATAGCTAAGCTCTTCCGTTCCCCATGACCGCCGTTCACCACGCTTGCCACCGTTGGCTGATGTTTCCTTAGAAGATTGTGAAGACGCCGTCGACGAAGCGGACGACACCGAAGTTATCACACTGCCACTCGTATGATTTTGAGTCTTCTTATTGCCCTTACCACTCCTCAGCGTCACAGCCGATTCCGCTTCCTGTGCCTTGGGCGTTGATCCCGGCTGTTCCACTACATGATTCTGCTGAGTATTCTGCTCCTCTTCCGCCTGTTGCTTCTTCTTGCTGCAACTACTCAACTCTTCCAAAGAATTACTCTTCTTCAGTTTGGCTTTCTCCTTCTTCTTTTCATTCTTCTTCTTTGACACTTTCTCGTCGGGAACCCCATTTTCCACACTGGCACTACCGACCTTCACCACCGTTCCATTTTTAGGATTCGATCCACTTGCCCCTCCCCCTCCTCCCCCCTTACTGCTATTATCCTTCTGTTTGTCCTTGTTTTCGATATAACAAACCAACGATTCAATGTCGTGATCCTTGCCACGGTACCCAGCAATCTTCTCCGGTATCACTAGCACCGTATTGCGGTCCGATTTCGGCTTCCTATTTTTCTTACCACCGGCGATACCGCCCCCCACCGAAGAAGTGTTTCCACTACCGACGACCAAACCACTTGCAGCTCCCGCAGACGAAGACGACGATCCAAGGCCGCTGTTGAACTGCTGCACCGAGTTACCATTCTCGTCGAGACCTTTTGCCTGTGAAAAAACAAGCGATTAGCAATTACTTGCATTCTGCCACCGTCACCTGTCACCGTATCACTTACCTGTGGAAACACCTGACCAATACTCGGCGTGGTGATGTATTTGGTATTGTTGGCACTGATCGTGCCCATCATCACATGCTTGGTTTGGTCGCTCTTGCTGTTGTCGCTGGACACGAAACACTTGACGGCCTGGTAGTTCGTACCAAGCTGGATCGGAGTAATGTCCACGCTCTTGTTGCTCTCCAGCAGCGGCAGCGAGACGGTCTTGTCGACGTGGTGCACCGATGAGGGTCGTACCGTCGACGAGGGGTCTCCGATTTCCAGCTTGGCGTGACTAGTGTAACTGGCTGCCGGATAGCGTGGAATCTTTTTTATTGCACTGCAACCGCCACTGCCAGCACCGCCGGTAGTGCTACTGCCGCCGCTCGTGGTCGTGCTGCTTCCATACAGATCGCCCCCGCTTCCATCGTAGTCGTCCAGACCCGAATCGTACAAGGTCTGCAAAGCAAATCGATCAATAAATTTAGCTTAATTCAAAACACTCATAACTATTGAATACCAACCTGTTGCAGGGCGTCATGCGCCAACAGGTGCTGCGTTTCGTCCGACTCCAGCTCACCCATATCGATTACGGTGTGCCCCGAGCCGACACCTCCTCCGCAGCCGTCGATTAGCTGAGATTCTGTATTTTTCATGCCACCGCACAGGCCGGTACTACCGGCAGCTTCGGCAACGGCGCTAATCAGTTCTGCCGCTCCGGCACTGGTCATCAGGGGCGCCGTCAGCACCATCGTGCCATAGTCGCTTTTGGAGCCACCTTCTCGCTTCTTGAACTTGGTAATCGTTCCAGTCGTGTGGTGATGGCCGACGTCGTTAAAGAACGGGCACTCAACGTTGACGTTGCTCGGCAAGCTGCCGCCTTCGCGCTGCCGGGACGAGACCGAACTGGTGGTTCGCTTCTGGCGTGGGTTTGTGGCCCGATCGCCCCCACCGGGACCGGAGCTGGACGCGGAACTGCTACCGTGGTGCCGTCGGAAGTTTTGTCCGCCGCCACGGTTGCTATAGTAGTCGGTCGCGAACGAAAACTCCGAATAGTAATAGTCCTGCAGGCTGGCTTCCGGGAGGTCCTGCAGGGAGCCGCCCTGCGTGGGCCGGCCCGAGGCACGCTTTGTCTGCACCGCACGGCTTGTGAAGGGAAAGTTCTGTTCCTGGTCTTCCATCTCTGTCTTGCTGAGAAGTTCCTGGATGGGGCGGACGAAAAATGGTTTAGGGGTTGCGACCAAGCATGGGAAAATTCATTCTCTCGCGCGAGCACCACAGAATCAACCTAGCCATCATCCTCACCTACAAACAGATTGCCGAACGGGTGGAAATTCTTCCAACCATGTGACTCAGCAGGTCGACTTAGAACTGACCAAATAAACAATATCCAATTCAAAACGCGTATGGGAACTGTTGAATTGAAGGGGACCATAGGATCATAGGACCAGAACCATTTTGTGGAGTTTCTCCTTGTTCTCTTAAATTGAAGATCAAGAAATGGGGGAAAATGAAAGTGGAGACCAACTGGAAAACACTTTCATTGGTAGGCAGTCGAAACGGTTCGTAATTCCGAACATTTCAATGACTAGCAGAATTCTTGAATTATCAAAGAAAGATCTCAGTGTCTATATTGGTTTGATTAAACTGAACACCTGCTATGCTCTTGTACAGCAATCTTCAATGAAAGGCGTATTTTTCTGGATAAGGGGCTGCCAGAACCCTTTTCTGACTGTTTCCGACTTCAACCCTAGGGTCAGAAATTCATCCACTTCTCCTACATCTTCGATTAGCAATTGCCAGGAATGTTAGAAATTTTTCCGTTTCAGGGATATAAATTTGTGTTAAGCATACAGCTAAATGCGATTGAGCCGAAGAGATACTGGATCGAGCGAACGCACCAACCAACTCGAAGGTTAAGTTTGCAACAACTAACCACGTCTAGCGTCTACGGAAATGGATTTTTATGTACCCTCAGGATCTCAGTTCAACTCAGGAATGTGCCAACATCCAGTGGAAATATCCTTTTATTTGAGCAAATTTTTCTCAACTTGCAAAAATGCAACATCAAGCATTGAGCAACCACAAGTTCCCAGCTCTTTTTAAAATTTGAAATGAACTTCACTGATATTCCCTGATTTTCCCAGGTAGTCGACATCCTGTAAATACAGTTCTATGATTTTCACTGATGCTCTCAAGATTTTTCTGAATTTCATGGAACTACCCTTAAAAAATATCGACACTATTTAATAACTTCTTCGAAAGTCTAGACTATTCTGATGATATTAAAACTGCCCAAAAGATTTTGGAATTTCCTTAAAGTTTTGCCCTGAATTTTTCAGTATTTAAAAAACGGAGACTGGCTTGGAAAAAGTGACCCCTCACATGAGAATTCCAAACCATAACCATTGGCGGTCATATTGAGGGCCGCGTAAGAATCACATTGGCCAAACTCGGACATATTCCGGATATCCTAGAGAAAGACTTTATTAAAGAAACAAAAACTCTAGGGGGAAGTGGACAAAATCTGCCTTGAGTCATATTTCAGCATTCTTAACTCTTTAGAAATAAACCTAAACAAAGTTGTGTTGTTCTTTGAATAGTTTATTTGATGAAATCATTAATTTTATTCTAATGGGACTGACTTGCTTCAAAACGTGATTTCATATGATAAATTCATATTCCTAAAAGCAGGGCTGCTAGCAGTGTTAAGCAATAAAAATAGTGAATTAGTGACTAAAATCATTTAAAAAAGTGACTAAAAAGTGACCAAAATCATTTTAAAAAGTTACCTAAATGTGACTTAAACATGATCAGAAAACTTCCAGAAATAGAATCGTGCAAATTGATTTGTTATTCATCCAAAAAAGGTAGACATTGATTTCATATCTGTACGCATTCGTCAAAAGTTTATATTGCAAGATCTTACACAACTAGATTAAAAACTAACAACACTGTGTAACACGACTTTCAATAACAGAGGTATTTTACCATATTTGAAATTATTATGGTCTCCTGCATTAAAGTTTAGAATAAATCTATTCTCTAACACGTTACGCGTTTTAGATATGAACTATGATAATCTTTATGCGATCTGCTAACTTGCATCACGAAGGTGCTCCGCTTTTGCTTAGTTACCTAATAAGTAGACATTGCCTAATAATTAGAACTATTTCCGAAATGAGGAAGCAAGATAGCGTTTTAAAATATTAAATGATTCTTCTTTGAATTATCTGAAAAAAATAACACCGGAATATCGTTAGAATGCTCCTCGAAATTCACTTGAAATTTAACTCAGAATTTTTCAAGGATATTCCTAAGAAATCCGTTGGAAGTATGCTTAAAATTATAATTGAATATATGTTGGAATTACCGTTGAATTTGGCTCCTTTCCTTGGTATTCAACTCACAACTATGAAATTCTCACCTGAAAAAATACTTTCAGTTTTGCTTAAATTTCTCCACAAAATTTGTCAGAACCCTCTTGAAATTTTTGACCAAATTCATTTGAGGTTCGATAGAAATTATACTCATATTCAATTGTAATTCTATAATTTCTCCGAAAACTCACATAGAAATATGCTTAGGATTCTTTTGTCCCAGAATCTTCTTTAGATTATCCTCAGAATGTCCTCTTTTGTATTATCTTGAAGTTCTCCTCAGAATGATCATGGTGTAATCCTCGTCCATTTTTTCTCATAATTCCCTAAGAATTAGAGTCAAAAGCTGTTATGAATTTTCATTAAAATTTGTATTCAATCCTATTCAAGGTTGTACCTTTTGACTATAGTTTTAAGCAGGCTTACTTCCACTCACTTGTTATAAAAAAATGATTTTCGGAATTTTGGAATCATTAGAATTTATAATGATATTTTGTACTTGTTAAATACAAGATGAGGTTGAAAGGCAAGTGTTTGACATATAACACCTGTCAAATTCGCTTTCAGATAGTCACAATTAGCGATTTTACGACTCACGAGCGCTCACTCTGAGTGAACGCTCACGAATCATAAAATCGCTGATTGTAACACTCTGAAAGCGAAATTGACAGGTTTTATGTGTCAAACACATACTTTACAACCTCTTCTTTTAACTTACAAGCACATAACATAATTATAACATCTAATGATTTTATAATTCCGAAAAACATTTTTTTTATAGCAAGTGAGTGGAAGCAACCCTGGTTTTAAGATGTATTGTATAGTGACCAAGAATCCTCGGCTCTGTAAAGTTAATTCGGTTGAGCCTTATCAAATAAATCAATGAAAAAAAAAAACTGTATCCTGAAAATCTAGTCCCGGCCACCCTGATTATTTAAATTTGCAGTTAAATCTGGACTCCTCAAAGGTGCGAAATCGCAAATAAAAGTGTATTGATGATGTATCGTCTAGGAATTTTACATTGCAATTCAAGCGGGAATGGCGAAAAAAGTGACTTTAGTGACTTTTTGTCGAAAATAGGGACTTTTTAGTGACCACCTTCAAAAAAGTGACAAAGTCACTAAAAAGTGACCCGCTATCAGCCCTGTAAAAGGAATAAATGCAAAATCGGAGAATTTAGACAGAAATGTTTCGAAACATGAGGAGTGCTCATATTGTCCTGAATAGACCTAAGATGAACTAATCCAACATTCGAATATTCGCACTAGAAGGTATTAAAATTTTAGACAAAATTAAATTAATAGTTGCAGTAGGCTTCAAGCATAAAGTTTGCAAGATTTGTTTGAATTTCTAGGGGGTTAGCAACATTACTTCTATGGCGAAACTGCCCCACTTTCCCCTATATTCATAAATTCGTCCAAGCAAAAAAAAAATCAAAACATTCTCATTCAACAATAGCTAAAATCCACATTCAAGAAATTATTGTCAATTTCCAACTCTCCAATCTGAGAACAACAAGGGCCCAGAGTTTTCGTTTGACATTTAACTCGTCGACACAAACACCGTCGTCGTACCTCCCTCAGTATCGGGAATTTATGCGACCTTCTTCTCTCATCTCTCCATCTCACCACACGTCCAGGAAGTGAGAAAAAAGGATTCGCTCCACTGAGTGCCCCCCCCCCCCCCTGCCATTCCATTCATTCCGCACATGCAACATGCGCGTTCCTCTCGTCTCTCGGTTGGATCCTTTCCTATGATTATGAGCACAGGGAGGAAGAACTCGAAATTCTCGCTGCGAGAGAACGTGCACAATCTACTGCCGTACAAAGAACATTATTCTGTGTTCCCCCGTCGCCCTTCTCTGGCACAGCAGCCAACTGTCAAAAAGCCTATCTCGCTTCCAGGGGACAGTATGTTATGTAACCGAGACATGACACTGAGGGCCACCCCAAACGGAGCATCCTTTTTCTCGCCGTGGCACTGTGGTTATAGATTTTTGCGACTAGGAACGTCGAATTTCCGCACCTCGCGATGTGTTCCTTAAAGTTAAGAAGGAGATCACTCACATTGAACGTTGCACTTTTGTGTTCCCGATCCTTCGGACGTTTGTAGGTGATGGCTTCCTCCAGAAGCGCCTTGAGATCACTCTCCTCCATATTATCGATCTGTTTGGAGAAGAAAGAAAAGTAGAATCGTTAGTTTAGCTTGATAACGGGTGTGGAGTCATTAGAGTTGAGGGTGTTTGCAATTGATTTCCATCAGCAGCGTGTGGGAACTGGGTAAAGGCCTTGTGATACCTTGCATTGTACAAGATTGGAAGAAGCCACATCGCTACTGCTGCAGTCATCATCGTCGCCGTCGCCGTTATCGCCAGCGTTTATCGGGTGGAGTTCTGTTCGGAGGGTGCAGATCACATCGATGATATCAATCATTTCGTGAAAATTATACACGGTATCCATTGGGTTCGTTTACGTTTCGTTGGTCGGTTCCTTTTTATCCCTGGAGGGGGTCCACAGTTAACAACACACACGTGACCTAATCGAGAAAGCAATGCAGACATCGAACAAATTTTCCTCTAAATCCATGGAAAGAAATGACGGACACAGCGCGAACTATGTACAGGAGAAAGCTTTCCTAGCCACTGTCGAAGAAAACTGAAATCTACGGCGGAGAACGAGCGAAGCACAGGCACATACAGGGACCGAGTGAGTCGAGAGAAAAGTGAGCAATCCCACCATCAAGCAGTGGGTCTAGTACAGAAATTTCAAAATCATATGGTCCCGAGGCATGCGCAGTGCCATTCTGGTTCACAAACTTTGGAAACGACAGTCCAAAATTCGAGGGACGTCACATTTCAACCAAAACAGATTCGGCCAACCCGTGCTATCGTGAGGCTTCATTTACGATGCTACGACTACGGGGATATTATTTATGGACATCATGCGACGATGTTGGACACACGTGATGGCATTCTGTGTGGTTATCAGAAGCAACAGTAGGGCAACGCGAAATGGGAAGCAAGATATTTTAATTTGTTTACGTTTTGATGGTTGTAACAGGTTGTAACCACATAATTGCTAAGATATGAAGATAGACTCAGATGGCTAATCATGTTGTGCATTTCGGAGGCAATTATTCCTTTGAATTATCACAAACAGGGCCCCACAAAGTCACTTTCAATCGAAAATCTTCAAGTGACGATGAAGCTCTCAACCACAGACAAACAGACGTAACTCTTCATTGTGTATCTTCGTTCATGCATTTAACGGTTGATTTGAATATTATCAGTTCCGCGAACTACTCGCCGCAGCGCGCTGGCATCGGATCACTTTGACGTTTCTATACATTCTATAGAACTTTTATGCAATATTGTTTACGAGTTAGCGAGCAAGCTTGTTTTCCGCGAGAAGCCAGAGAGATGTCGTTACTGAGGTTATATGTTTAGAGATACTATGTTTTCAAGAACAAGTTTTTCAAAGAGTTACGTCTGTTTGTCTGTGTCTCAACCATCACTTTCAATTGAAAGTCATTCTGTCTTCTCTTCGAGCAGATCCCCGTCAACATCAACAGAACCACTTTCGATCGGTTTTCATGCTGTTTGTTTTGGTTTGACTCGTGTTCATTTCTTCTTTCATTGTCAAATGAACTTACTTTTGCATTGAACCGAAGCTGTTTGATCCAAATTCGCGCTGTTTTTTATGACTTTTGTTGATTGTTCACTCGGTTCATTTAAGCGTGTGCGCATTGATCTGTACTCATGGTTGTAAAATTTATCATTGTTGGGTGGTTTGGGTACTTTTTGAATCGGGGTGACATCTAGAGATCGAAAATTGATATGCGACGCCATTTTTAAATCCAAGATGGCGGCTTCCAGTTTAAGAAAAAGTTAGAAATGCTGTCAAATTCTTATCAATAAAGGTATTTTAGGAATCGGGATAATGTCTAGAGGATGAAAATCGATATCCGATGGCATTTTGGTGGCGATTTACGAAAAAGTGGAAATACAGTCAAATACTCATCAATATTGGTATTTTTGTAATCGGTATGAAGTCTACAGATCGGAAATTGATATGCGACGCCAATTCGAGATCCAAGATGACGGCTTCCGATTCCAGAACAAGTGGGAAATATTGTCAAATACCCTTCAATATGGGTATTTTTTGGAATCGCGATGATGTCTAGAAGCCGGAAATCGATTTCGACGCCATTTTGAAATCCAATATGACGGCTTCCTATTTCAGAAAAAATGGGCAATGCTGATGCCGTCCCATCAATATGGGAGTTTTTGGAATCGGGGTGACGTCTGGAGATTGGAAATCAATATCCGATGCCATTTTGTAATCCATCAAATACCCATACAAACGGTTTTTTTTTTAAGAATCCGGGTAACGTCTAGAAGCCGGGAATCGATATCCGACGCCATTTTGTAATCGAAACGGTGACTTCCGATTTGCGGAAAAGTGTCAAATACCCTAAAATGTGGGTATTTTCAGGATGGGGATGAGACATAGATGCCGAAAATTGATGTCACGCCGTCTTTTTTGGAATCGGGCTGACATCTAGAAGCCAGAAATCGATGGGCGACGCCATCTTGAAATTCAATGTAAGAAGAAGTATCAAATAGCCTACAAACGGCATCGAATATCGATTTTTAGCATCTACGCGTGGTCTCCGTTCCGAAAATACCCAGATCTTAGGGTATTTGATACTTTTGTGAAACCCTATGGCCGCCATATTGGATTCCAAAATGGCAACGAATATCGATTTTTGGCATGTACACGTTGTCCTCATTCCGAAAATACCCATACCAATATATAGGGTATATAGGGTATTTGACACTTTCTGAACCCTGATGGCCGCCATATTGGATTCCAAAGTGGTATCTGATATCGATTTTTGGCATCTACGCGTTGTCCCTGTTCTGAAACTAACCATATTGTAGGGTATTTGACACCTTTTCTGAAACCCTATGGACGCCATATTGGAGTCCAACATAGCATCGGATATCGATTTTCGGCAGCCACGCGTTGTCTCCGTTCCGAAAATAACCATATCTTAGGGTATTGACACGTCTTAGGAAACTTGATGGCCGCCATTTTGGATTCCAAAATAACGTCGAATATCGATTTTCCGCACCTTCATGTCGTCTTCGTTCCGAAAATACCCATATTGTGGGGTATATGAGGCTTTCCCTGACCCCGATGGCCGCCATCTTGGAGTCCAGAATGGCCTCGTTAATTTAATTTTCGTTCAATATAAAATAATATATTATTATTACACCTAATCTGGATGCCTTCCCTATCGGCAACCTATATTGTGCGGATACTATACTTTGATGCCTGCGTCGTCAGGTCGTGACAAGTCGAATGAGCCCCGAATTGAAGTGAAAGTGGAAAAAAACGAAGGAAGCAGTTTTCGAGTCATTCATTGCGTCAATTGAAACAAGTCTTTGCTTCAAATGAAATGAACTGAAGCACTCGACGAACGAAACAAGTGATAGTCCTGCCATGTTTGAAAAGAGGAATGTTCATCGTGACTCGATAACAAGAAACACGATGACTTACACGAAAATGATATTGCTCGAAATGAAGTGATTTTGAGGAGAGCTCATTTTCTTTTCTTTGTTTCGAAAATGCAGAACCCTGATCACAAATAATGAAAAGCAGCGTTTCCATAGGGCACTTAATCTTCTGGAATGGAAAATCCCCCTTTTGAAGTGAATTATTCGTGGAATTCAACCCAACCTTACAGCGCTCATTACGAACATTTTCCATGTACATTATAATTTTCTCCTTATTCTTGGTTATTACATCTGAACTGGAACGTTGCGTCTGACCACAACAGTTGTTAATCGAGAACTTTATAAGCAAATACCATAATGGAATCGTTCTTTTTGGCCGCTGGCTAAAAATAAGGCTAGCTTTTTCCTAGGCCTGATGGCATACGAAATAAATATTTGAGGTTTTAGACTTATTCAATTATCTCATAAACACATAAATATGTACGATAGGAATCTTTAAAGCGAAAGATTCAATAGAAAGTTTATGACTAAACCTCCAAGCTTCTACTACCTGGAAAACCCTAAATAACCGGGAATTCGCAGGGAATTTCATTTTTCCTGGAAATACCTGGAAGTATCAGGGAATCTTATCATTACTCAGGAAATTTAATAATTTTCTTACTAAGAATGCATTTTAAAATAAAAACAATTAATATTCCTAGCTATTTTCATTCACACATTACTTTATAGATCAAGAATGGATTAATCTTCAGTAACAAATACATTTTTAAAATTCAGAGACTTCAAATGATTTTTGACGTAGGATTACGTCTTTCGGCGGCAACATATTAAGGGTGCAATTTCAAAAAACCAAAATCAACCGCGTTACGAAAAATGGTCAGGTTTTGACCACTTTTAACTCTGTCAATAGCGGATGGATATTAATTCTAAACAAGCCAATCGATTGGAATGTCATCTACGAATCTGCTAAAATGAACACTTTACCAATTTTCAAAAGGTCACTATTGAAAATTGCACGGATGTGCAACTGTTGCTATAATAATGAAAATGATCACCGCTTGACTGCGAAAAGCGCTTTCCCTAACACAGATTTAAACATCGAATTCACTCCGGTCTTCGGGGCGTGGCGTTGTAGATTGCTCTCCAGCACACGACTAAGCGCGAGCTGCAGCCCACTGACCGCATGACATTGTATTTTTAAGGCAACATTGGGGGTGCAATTTAATCAAAGTCTGTCGCGGCATAAAAGTGGTCTAATGTTGATCCAAAGATGATGGATTTTAATTCTTAATACCTTTTGATGCAATAAAATTCTTCCCGAATTTCCCCCCAGCGCCTGGTCAGATCGAACAACAAAAACTGTGCTACTATTAAAACTATTCCCACACCGCTGACGATGACCCCCCGACGCCGGAAGGAGACTGGAAGAGGTTCGCACGAGGATGGCAACACCCATCCCCTTGTGGACGACGAGGGAAGAAAAGATAGTTCCAGTATCGGGACGGGCAAGGGAAATTCAGCCCATTCCCCGAAGGACTTCGCGGGAACAAGGAAAGTCGCAGCATCACTGGAAGATGCAAGCAACAGCAAACTGCAGTCAAATAACATCAATTCTTCCTCCGTTGGGACATCCATGCCCTTGGT